AAATAAATTTAAAAAAATAAATAAATAACTTGGCCACATCACCCAGCAGATCAAAACGTTATTATGAGTTGTCATTCGTGGCCCCAAGGTAGTTTGCTACGCTTCCTAACCATTCAAATTACTTGCATGCTATTCTTTGGGGTCCATTCCAGGACTGAAAGAACCTGAACGTATAGTGTAAAAGCTCTTAAAACCTAAGACACAGAGTCTCGCTAGCCTTGAACTCACATGTAGCCCAGACTGGGCTCAAAACACATGGTGATCTTCCTGCCTCCTCCTCCTGAGTATTAAGTCTGAGATTACTGGCTTGAGCCACCACACCTGGTTAACAACCCAGTTCTTTAGGCCAAAGGCAGCCTGCAGGCCAACTCCTGCTGTAGCCTATTATATAGTACTTGTGAACATTTTCACACATTTTTTAAAGTAAGTTTTTTAAAAAGAGTATGTGATAGCCTGCTTCATAAAACCCAAAATACTTCCAGTGTGGCACTTTAAAGAAAGGTTGCAGTGTCCTACAGCAAACTCACTGGAAAGCTGTGTTTCCTTGGTTGGGAAAAGTTCCACCTCGAGCAGGCACAGCTGGTGTATGGCAGATCCAGAAGAAAGCAGGATTTTTTTTTTTTTTTAAATAAACTTGGGATCTTAAAGATCCTACTGGTAATTCAGCCTTATTAAGTATGTACTATAATTGAGAAGCTTATTAGGCACGTGATCAGTCCCCTGGGTAACGCACGTGTTAAGCACATACTCTTCTACAGAGCTATATGTAGCCTGTTACTAGAAAGTTCTTGCCGTTACAACTGGTATGGTTTTCCTTAAAAATGCTGGGCTTGTAATTCCAACATTCTGCGGCTAAAGCAGGAGGATCACAAGTTCAAACTTAGAGAAGCCTGGTCTGAAAAACCTAAAGGGCTAGGGCTGTAGCTTAGTATGAAGGCCTGGGTTCGATCCCCAGTACCACAAGAAAGAACAGTTGATCATGATGTGTTATCTTTTTTTTAATTTTTATTTATGTGTGTGTGTGTGTGTGTGTGTGTGTGGCCAGCTCAGCCCACCAGGGGGCGGGGCTGGCTGGCATGTGGTGCTGGGGGATTGAACTGCGGCCCTGTGCTTTGCTAAGCTTGTTCCAAGTAGGTGCTTTAGACCACTGAGCCATCTCACCAGCTCCATGATGTGTTATCTTAAAGGGACTCATAGTAGTGACCTGAACTAAGCTAGAAATCTAAAAATGATGCCCCTGTGAATACAGGGAGGAAGGAAGCACCTCATTACCAGACAGGTCTAAAAAAATTATTAATAAAATTTCAAAACAAGATAGTGGTTAATGCATTGCATAGTTATCTTGAAAGTAGTTACCCAAAAGCACCAAATACAGGCATGAAAAATTGTCCAAAATATTAGCACAGATCTTTTTAATGAACTGAGAGAAATTAGAAAAAACTATCTTAACTACCTTGTAAATTTGTTTTCCTGTTCCCTATCTCAGTTTCTCTTTTAGACATCTGAAGTCATGTGTTTGGTTTTGGTTTTGGTTTTGAGATGGGGTCTGTGTTGCTCAGCCTGGCCTCAAGCTCCTGGGCTCAAGTGATCCTCCTGCCATGATCTGAGTAATGGGGTCTACTCGGCCTGCTCCCTGGATTTCTGTCATGACTGCCATTGTACAGTAAGGATTTTAGGTCAGATGTATGGTCGCAGCTTTGACATGGACACTGCATGTCCCACCGCAGAGCCCTTTATGCCATCTTCAGTTGCAGAATTGGAGTTTGGACAAGAGGATGTGAAAAGTAGAAAAGTAGGTGTGGTGGCGCAGGCCTGTAATCCCAGCACTCAGGAGGCAGAGGTGGGAGTACCACTGTGAGTTCAAGGCTTGCCTGAACTATGTGGTGAGGCTCTATCAAGCAAAAAAGGAAAAAAATTGTGTATCGTAGGACATACTCTTTTCTTGTATTAAGGTCCTGAGGTTGGGGTGGTAGCGGTCCTTCAGCCCACAGTGACTAGGACTGCCCACATAAGCTTTTCACAACGAGGGGCAGTGGCAATGGCCAGTGCTATAGGAGGCATTGTTTTAATTTGCTTTTAGAAAAGGGAGAGCACTTGACAGATTGAGGTCTTGGGGAATCAGGACTTTTGTACACGGAGAGTGGAACTGAAGCTCAGAGCTTCGGGAGGAGGAAAAGGAAAGAGATGGCAAATTCTGAGGGCATAAAATAAGCATGGGTTTTTTAAAGGGAACACTAGCTGTGCATTTGTTGGGTACTCCAGGGGGAAGAAAAGTCCAGGAAGGTTGAGGAAAATGTCCACCAGCGCCAGCTGGACTGAGAGCCATGCTGGACCATAAGGAGGCAATGTGTGGCCAAGCTGCACTAGGCAGGGTGCGAGGGAAGGTGCTGGCGCGGCCCTGAGGAGACAGACCTTTCAGGTTACCTGTGAGGCTTTCACTGCAGGCTCAAAAATCCTGTAAGCAGGAAAGGACTTTTTTAAAAAAAATTTACGACAGGGTCTACAGAGTCTCTACGTAGACTGCACTTGTAGTAATCCTGTTTTCAGGCTCCCAAGTGCTGTGATTACAGGCAAGCGCCATCACCCTCAGTCTCAATTGCAGTCTCAGCTAGCCCCACTGGTGGGGCCAGCACAGCATGCCAGGAATCCAGCCCCGGCCGCTGTGTTCTGCCTAAGCAGGGGCTTTAGTCCGCTGAACTATCTGGCCAGCCCTAGGAAAGGACTTCTCATGAGATCCACAGGATTGGGTAGGGAAGGAAAAGCAGAGCTCAGAGACTGCAGGACCCTACTGAGACAGGACCTAGTGTGGAGCATGAGCCGGGCCTGAGGTTATATGTGAGGAGAGGACTCTTGGTCACAGGCACAGTGACTGGTACCAGGGAGAGGGCTTTATTGAGTGAAATATCCAGGTGATGAAAGCTGCTGGAGAGAGTGAGAAACAGGAAGTGCCACTCAGGAAAGAGCCACTGAGGTTTGTGTAGATGTGTCTGTAACCATAGCTGCTTAGGAGGCTGAGGCTGAAGGACCTCAAGTTCAAGGCCAGCTTGGGCAATTTAGTAGGACCTTGTGTCTGAATAGAAATAAAAGAGTTGGGTTGTATTTCAGTGACAGACTCCTTTTGTTCAATCTACACTGGGGGGAGGGGGCAGGAGGGTTTGGGGGACTAGACCAGCTCTTCATACGGAGCTATATTCCTAAGCACTTTTTTTTCCCGGAACTGGGGATTGAACTCAGGCCCTTGTGCTTGCCAGGGAAGCACTTATCCTACTGAACCATCTCCCCGGCCCCAGCACTTTTTTTTTCTTTAAAAAAATAAGTTTTTTAAAGATAGGATCAAATTAAGTTGCCCAGACTGGGCTAGAACTTGTCCACCTGCCTCAGGCTCCCAGGCATGCGCTGTAAGGTGGGTAGATAATAGCAGGCCTGAAGGACAAATAGAGTC